TGGCCCTGTACATCCCATGACAGAGAAGGCTATGAAGAGCAAGGAGAAGTGAATGGCTCAGACTGGGGCCTGAGGTTCATTGTCAGTGAGCTGAGGTCAGGACAACAGATGCCCAGTTTCCAGATGATTCACAGGTAGACGCTGGCTTGAGCTGGGCCTTAGCAGAGGTGCGCAGGGTGGAGGAAGGCCGTGAGACCACCAGGCAGTAAAGCCCAGGACAGGCAGTGGCCAGGTGAGTTTTATCAAGAGCAACTGCCTAATCAAAACCCCTTTCGACCAGAGAGCTACAGTTGCATAAGCCACAGGACAGGTCCTGGAACAGACAGCGTGAATGAGAGCAGGCGTGCAAGGTGTGCATGGCATGTGTGAGTCCCACAGAGGAACCATGTTAATGCTTCTGGGGTTTGCGCTCACCATCCTAAGCATACACTGGAACCAAGACTTTTCTCTGAAAACTAGTGAGTAGGGTTGTGGTCTCCCTCAGGGCAGGCCATATAAAAAGAACTTTTTAAAAAAAAAATTCTAAGAGTGAAAGAGTGTCCAAATGTCTCAGGTTACTCAGCTGCAAATGCAAATGTGACATTTAAATCACAATCTGGAGACCTCGTGGCAGGGGGGCCTGGGGACTGGGGGAAAGGGAAGTTGGGCTCTATATAATGGCAGCTCCTTGTCAATGGCCCTTGAAGGATCACCTGCTGGAGGTTGGGAAAGCCAGGGGGAGGCAGCTTCAAAGACACAGCAGGAGCCTGAAGTGGCCCAGGCTCTTTCACTCTGACCAGTTAGAGCCATTGTGGACTGACCCCATGAAGTTGGCATAAGCACACAAGGGTTGTCATGGCCACAGCCCCAAACTGGCAGAATTGAGGCATCCCTTCGATGACTCCCTTAAAGGGCTTGCTTGCCATCTGTACTGCTGGGGAGTTAGAGAGAGGGGAGGGGAGGAGAGGAAGAGGGTGTTAGTGAAGACAAAAGGTGAAGGGAATGAATAGACATTACTTGGGCCTTACCTTGATTTTCCCCTCGCAGTGAGGGTAGCCATCCATAGGAGGCAATACACATTTTTCTTGAGCTCCATTAATGATATCTGTAAAGATGAAACAGAACAAAGGATACCATGAAGTTTATGAAACACAAACCTACCATCTTTGTAAGCAATGGGCAGGGAAAGAAACAGAAACAGGAAGTCTATACTGGGAGCCATGCTCTGACCTGTGGAAGCTCTCCAGCTGCCAATAGGTCCAGCTGGCCTGCAGTGAGGACCTGGCCCAAGAACAGCCCACCTGTAGGATGGCCAGAGACCTATGATGCATGTGGCCCAGCCTGAGCGGGTGAGCTACACCAATCAGAGGGTTTGCTTGGAAATTTGCAACTTGGTAAGAGAAACCAAACAAGTGGAGAGCAGGAGATGAAGCCATGAGATTGGGAGGGACCACCAGGGCCATGTCAGGCTGTGCAGACAAACTGAGGTCAGGAATACCTTCGTGACATGTGCTTGAGCTGAGAAGCTGGCAAAAAATAGGTAAATAGAACGGTAGTATAGAGGAGGAGAAAGCCACCAGACACATCAGCAAGGTACAGCATCTTCTGGACGTGGTTCTTACATTTCTGCAAAGATCTTCTTATGCTTCAAATATTTCCTCACAGTAAACTCCCTTTCTATTAGCTAGCTCTAGGGGATTCCTATTCCTTTTGATGACAAGAGTCAGAACAAAAAAGAATGCCATTAAAAAGCTTACTGTTTAGTGGTGGACCACAGACAAACAAGTAAACCACTGAACAACAGTGTAATAGACATTATGTTGGGGCGGGCCAAGGAAAGGACACCCACCCCAGTCTCTAGGGTCAAAGACGACTTCCTGGATCTAGTGACATCTTAGTGGAGATAAGAAGATGAAGCAGGAGTATGCCAGGTGAAGGGGCAAGGTAGAGATGGTGTTCCAGGAACAGGCTCCAAATGCAAGGACGCGCACTGAGTCGAATGGAGAAATGGGAGGTACTGAGTGGTCAGAAAGGAAATCAGGCAGGGCCCAAACCAGAAAGACTTCAAGCAAGCACCCTGATAAAGACTTTACTTATTTTTCAAGTGTTTATTTTTGAGAGAAAGAGAGAGATTGAGCGAGCGAGCAGGGGGAGGGGCAAAAAGAGAGGGGGGCAGAGGATCCAAAGTGGGCTCTGTGCTGACAGCAGACAGCCCATTGTGGGGCTGGAACTCATGAACCACAAGATCATAACCTGAGCCAAAGTCAGATGCTTAATGGACAGAGCCGCCCAGGCGTTCCTGCCCTGATAAAGACTTTAAGCTGAGGGAAGGGAAGGGCAGGGCACTGAAGGCTTCTAAGAAAGGAATAGTTAAGATCAGACTTATGTTTAGGAATGATCATTTTAGCTGGAAACTGGGACAGCTCTAAAACTACATGTTTCTCTTTGAGGACCAACTGTATTTTCCAGACACGTTTGGAAAATGTCACGATTACTTATGGCTGACAATTTTCTGTTCAAAGTACTAATGAGAAATTAGATCCCAAACTACAGTATTGTTTGACTGTGCTGTTGAAACAATGTTGGTGGCTGCTGGGCCTAAAACAGAAATTGTACCTGTCCCTTGAAAATTAGTTCCTCTGACAGTCTGAAACAGATTCTTCACCTCTTGATTCAGTGTTCTCATCACCATTCCACCCGCCACGTGGATAACTATAGCATAAAATAAATACCCTCCTTCTCATGGACTGGAGGCAGCGTCATTTAGTAGTGAACATGGACGATATTTAGCTTGTCAGAGACTCTGTTTCTCCGTCTGTAGCACTGAAATAACTGTACCATTATTTCATCCAGCTCTTATTAAGTAAGTTAATATTTGTGCAAAGTCTAGTCTGGCACTCCCAACAGCTGACTCTCGCCACAGACCACAGTGAGTGCTTAAAAAGTTGGCATTCACTATATAATTCCATGCCACTTATACTCTATCTAAGAAAGCAAGGTTTCAAAAGCACGGATCTTCTAGAAACGCATTCTCTGCGTTTTTGAGATAAATGCAGGCTTGAGGTGGTACATCTCCCTATAGCTCTCCTCCTTTCTCACTTGTAAGGGGACAGCCAGCCTCAGAATCCACTAACAAATGCCTCACCAAAGGACAGAGGCACTTTTCAGTGACTACTTATCCTATTTTTGTCTCTGATTTTGCTTGGTAACATTTACCAAGCAAATAAATAGCACAGGATCCAAGACAGCAGAGTCTGAAACAGCTGGGGGTCGGGGCAATCAGACATTTAGAGGGATGATTACGGAGAAATTCCCCCCTTCTTTCACACACTATAAGCACTACACCAGTTCCAGACATCCAGAGCCAGAAATTATGGAAACTAGAGACTATAGAGTTAGAGGTATGGTACCATGGAGTGAACAGAAATCACCAGATGGTAACATAAACCAATAAGTCCATGAAGGCCTGCAAGGAAAGCCTCGGTTGCTCACAGCGTGGGTCCTTTCCACAAAGAGTTTCAAGGAATAACAATATGTTATGCCAAGGGTTGGCAAACCTTTTCTCCAAAGGACCAGAGAGTAAATATTTGAGGCTTGGCAGGCCACACTGTCTCTGCCACAACTATGCCACTGTGGATTATAACAGGAAAGCAACCACATATAATAGGAAAATGAATGGGCGTGGCTGTATTCCAATAAAACTTTGTTTTCAAAAACAGGCACAGACCCCTATATTTGCTACGCCAAGACAGTCACAAAATGAGGATCCTAGTTGCTGCAAAGATCTGATGAAATGACTTTTTTGAGGACTCCTGCAGACACTCCTCTGCCCCTACCCTTTCGCCACCTGGTTAAAGCCCCGCCCTTGAAGACCCAGCTCAAGATTCACCCACGGAAGAATTAGGCCCAATCCCTCCTTCCCATGCCAAACCAGAATTTAGTTAGGATTTAGTGCTGCCTCCCTCTCAAGTCTCTCTCACAGCAGTGAGTGATCTCGTTCTGTCCTCCACATGTGCCCACTTGCCTCCTAGGATGTAAGGCGGTGATGGGAAGGTTATGTCTCCATGCCCCATCACCAGGCACTCAGTAAGTGCCGGCTGACTGAATAAACACACCTGTTGCACCTGCTTCCCCTCTCCCCGCTGACTCTTCAGTTCACAGACAACCAGACTGAGCAGAGAGACCTGTGCTGGAGCAGCGTTTTTCCTTCTCTTCCACCTGGCAGTTCGTCAATTAATCCATAAGGGTTTTCTTTGCAATTCCATCAATTTATGATGGGTTTTCTATTTAGTTACAGAGTGACGAGTTTGCATAAGCAATGCCATCCAGAAGTGGAGTTAAATGGCTTGAGGCTCTGGGGTTGGAGGGATCCATGAAAGGAGAAATAGAAAGTGCTGGCCTTCCCAGGGAGGGATGGAGCTACTCCCTAAATCCAACCACCAGTAACCTGACTCCCAGGAAACTGAGCACAACCCCCATCACCTCCCAGGTCCTAAGGGGTCTCAGCACATCTAAGAGGAAAGCTCCCCGTTTTGTTTCGATCACAAAGACGAAAACTCATTCAATGACGTTTTATTAGTCTGTACACAGAAGACACTGCTACCTAGAGAAAGACCCTGCAATATAAGGTTGGTTAAAAAACAAAAATTCAGGTCAAAAAAGGTTAATGTTACCACTTTTCAGGGGAGATTTAGCTTACTATATATTAAGCACTTTCAAAAAAGGGACTGGATTCTTCCACAGTATGTTACTGGAAGCTTCTTCTCTCTGACATTCACCTGATGTTCTTTCTCCCAGTGTCAAATTTTTTCATGGTAAAAGGGCAAGGGGAAAAGAAAGATGATCACGTAAGCAAAGAAGCTCAGCTCTTACTACTGTTCAGGATTCAGTTTCATCCCTTACCCTCCCAAACCAGCCCAAGTGTGTCTTTCACCAAAGACTTCACCTCTGCACTGACCGTATAGCATTGTCAACCAGGTATTACACAAAAGGCAGACAGCCTAGGCGTGAAAATTGTGTTGTTTGATCAGTCACCTGGACCCACACAGTACAGCAGGGGCTTGGATATTGGGTTTAACCTAAGAAAACACTTTTCTTGGGGCACCTGGGTGGCTCAGTCAGTTAAGTATCCAACTTAGGCTCAGGTCATGATCTTACAGCTCACTGAGTTCCAACCCCACAATGAGCTCTGGGCTGACACCTGGGAGCCTGGAGCCTGCTTCAGATTCTGTGTCTCCTTCTCTCTCTGCCCCTCCCTGGTTCACACTCTGTCTCTCTCAAAAATAAGCAAACATTAAGAAAAAAAGAAAACCCTGGGTGCCTGGGTGGCTCAGTCAGTTAAGCGTCCGACTTCGGCTCAGGTCATGATCTCACAGTTTGTGAGTCAGAGCCTCGCGTCGGGCTCTGTGCTGACAGCTCAGAACCTGGAGCCTGCTTCGGATACTGTGTTTCCTTCTATCTCTGCCCCTCCCTAACTTGTGCTCTCTGTCTCTCAAAAAGAAATAAATGTAAAAAACAATTTTTTTAAAAAAAGAAAAGAAAAAAAACCCTTTCTTATGCTCAAAGATGCTCACCACTCAGGAACAACACGTGTGCAGAAGGAACAGAAGTGGCAAAAGAGGTCATAAACACACACAGAGCAGGTGTCCCTGTCAAGTGTGGAGTCAAGTTCTCCGTGACAGTCCCCACATAGGCATATATGCTGAGGGAGAGATGTGCTGAAACAGTGGCACTTTCAATAAATACATGGAAGCAACAGAGACAAAGAGATGGAATCAGACACACTGAGGACTTTTACTCCTGCTTGCCTGCCTCTGAGGAAGGAAGGAGGGCACAGACAGGCTCAGAGACAGTTGAGGACAGAAATAGGTGATGTAGGAAATGAAAATGGGTGCTAACTTCCCCGGAGGTATCACCTGCCTTCCTAAGGTGCTGGCACATACATGGGTACATTTTATACTAACCACAGCCTCCTGAATAGGAAGGCAGTGACCTCATCTTATAGCTTGGAAAGGGGAAACTTTAAAATCCTCAGCACGTACCTCCAAACTCAGCCCGCAGTCACCAGGACTGTCTCTCAAACGCCCGCTGCCTGCCACGTGCTGA